ATTTTAATTTTAATAAAACCATAGCTCAAAGACAATAAAATACCTTAATACCATTTACAAGGAGACTACGGATGTATGGAAAATTCCAATAATCAGAATACCCTTATACATAAAATAAAAGCATTAGAGCAAGGGCAAAATTCATGTGAAGAAAAATAAAGACATGGAAGAAAGACTGCAGATAATAACAGTTACTTGCATTCAGAGGAAAAATAAAGAGTTTAAAAATAATTAAAGAAATTATAGCTGTGCACAACAAAGATGATCCAACACAAGAATTATTGCTTTCTCTGAAGTGAAGCCCCAAACATATGGAAATGAAAGATACTGAGTGATACATTTGACAACACTTCCTTAAAATAAAATGGCAAAAATGTATCTGGCATCAAGGCAGAAAGTTTGTGTCATCAGCAGAAGAAACATATCAGGCTGCCTGAAGACTTTTTATGGCAATATTCAGTGGTGGAATTTAAGAGAGCAATTAGTTAACAGGAAAAGAAGGGATGAACCACTAGTAATATTCCCAGAAAGGAATAAAGACAATAGTGAGACACCTTCAGCATGAAATATTTCAAGGATTAACAAACAAAACTAATTAACAATGAAATACAAGTAAGGAGGAAATGATTGGAATAATGAACTCAGTCATGAAGAAGCCATAATAAAAGGAGCTGATGGTTAGTACCAAATCTGTAGAATTAAGACCAAAGAGCCAACACAATTAAAGTTGCAGAACAGAATGTAAATATTATGAACTCTGACAAAGTTAAAATAATATAATTACAAAAAAAAAAAAAACCCTGAAAATGAAGAGGGATAAGGAGAAATTGGAGAGGAGCTAATCACCTCAGACTGCACTGCAGGGAGTTAATGAACACTGTCTGAAATTAAAACATGGAGCTAATGCATCCAGCTTCTTAATGATATTCATAGTCTTTTATTCTTAACCATAAAGACAAGTTTTTTAAAAAACATCCTTATGATAAAGAAATACTTAAGTTCAGCAGTGTTCTCCCATTTATTTCAGATTTTTCATTTATTAAAGCATGTGTAGCATATTAATTAAAAATATCATGTACATGTCTTTCTCCATACTTACCCTTTCATTTGTGCAGATGTGTAATTATCTAATTGGGATGATGTTTATCATATGTTAATAGCTTCTCTTCTGTATGTAATCATTTGGGGCATGATTTGTGTTTTTAACTTAAATAAAGACATTATAGTAAAATAATACACACTTAATTAAACACTTAAAATTTAAACACTTAAACACTAAAATGATAATGATAATAATGATGATAATAAAAGCTTGCAGATATCTTGTATGTACTGGTTTGCATGGACGGTATTTGCCAAAGTACCTGAGTTGGGTATGTTGTGTATATAGGGAAGAGGTTTGCTATGTTTGTCTGGCCCCATGGCTTTGTGTCTGAACTCTATAAAAAATAATTGAAGATACTGGTTGTGCCAAGAACGGAGCATCCCAGCTTTGAAGCCAGGTGAAATGACTGTACTTGAAAGGGAGAACATGGCCCTACTCCCAGCTGTGCTAACACAGGAGTCCCAAGAGCTCAAATTCCACTTTGCTTTGTTGAGGAGGTACAGGAATTGGAATTATATGGTAGCAGTTCCCCTGCATAATTATCAGATCCTGATGAAGGATGCTGGGATAGGGATCAACAGTGAGGTGCCACCTTAATTAAGGACATTTGAGCAGAAAAAAATTAATAAGAGTGCTGTTCAGTTAATACCAGATGAGGCTAGGTAAAACAAAACGTTCTAAAGAACTGCACAATGCAAATTTTGGGGGCAAGAATCAGTGAGATGTAGGTAATTTAACCACCTTAGTTCTCTGGACTCATGAAACCCTGGGGGGGAAAAAAAGTCTGATGATTACATGTCCTAATTTCCTGACAGTTCAAAGATTCTGACTTCATGTTAGATCATGTACATTGAAGACTGATTCAAAATCTTACTGTCATTGTTATCATTTATGTGAGGTAGCCCTAAATCCCATATCCTTTGTACTTTTCCTATCTAAAGAAAACTACATATTTAACTTCACTAATATTCAGTAAGTACTTACTCCCTGAAAATAATGTTGCTAATTCTGAAAGATACATTGAATTCTTCAGATATTTCAAACATAGAATATAACATTCTCCTCTGTACTGATAATAATGGGCCATTTTAAAAAGGTTGATTTTTTTTTTAAAGCATGGAGAAGAGAGTAAACTGTGATGTATAATAATAAACTTCAAATATCTATCTATCTATCTTTCTATCTATCTATCTATTCAAATATCTGCTGGTTGGTGCAGGGGACCAGTTAGCTCAGAGTAGAAATAGCACATGGTTTACTAGGTTAGGAGATTAGACGCATGTGTCTGTGGGCAACTGCATTTTTTGATTAATAGAGATTTCTCTGTCTAGTTGTATGGGATTAAATTCCTACATAACCAGGAAGTTACTTTAAATAAGAAAATTCTTTCTTTCAGAGTGGAATACTAACAAAATATAAAGAAAGCTACCCACTGGCCTCAATTTTAGAAAACACACACACACACACACACACAAATCAAAATTGCAGGAAAAAATTCACACAAATTAAAATTGTTGTACATAGTAGTACTATTTTTCTCATCTTAAGTGAATCTTTCCAAGCATCTTTTGAATTGAGTAGATTTCCTTAAGTTAGACCTACTGGAACTTTAATATGTTATCATAAAAATATTTGAATACATGAAAATGTATGCAGATACTGAAATGTATAATGGGTTTTTAAAAAATCTCATTTCTATTAGTATTACTGAAATTTTGGTATCCTTTCTTAATCTAAGGATTCAGTGTTTTGATAAGTTTCTTCGAAACTCCCTTTATTACTAAGAAAACTCAGACTCAGGGAAACTGTGGCTGGCTTTTTAAAACAGTGAATAGGCTTTATGGAAGAGAATGAACAATTGCATACATTCATGGATGAAAGAATCCTAACCCAGGAACTGTTTATAAAAGACATATTTTTCTCTTTATTTGTGTTCATAGTATGTGTATAGAGAAATTTCCAAAGTGGAAAACGGATCTCTGTTTTTTTCTCATACCCAGCCTCCTGTCTGACTGTTGAGGACACAGGGTCCCACCTGCTCTCACTGTGCCAGGCTTCGCTGTCACTGAGAAGCAAAAGATAAGAGAGGAGATGGGAGGCCAAGCAACAGGTCTGGGATGTGAAAGGAGCATAAAGGTTTCAATCAACACAGAGAGTTTTGGAAATGCTTATGAACTTGAGGTTCTGAACTTCCCCAGGGATGAAGGTTAGGGAGCCTGACTGCCACCAGCTCATACTCTTAAGCTAACACATTAGTGGACTCTTTCTTATTTGGTCCACGGGTGGTGTAAACATATATCCCCGTTTCCCAGCACAATCCTGGTTTACCACTGTTGTTACACTCTCAAAAATGTCTGGCTGAGAAGATTAAACTCTTCTCTAAGCTCGATTCCCAGGCAGCCATCCAAATTGATCTAAACGGCTGCGAAGATAAACCCTTGTTGTCCCTGGACTTGTCAGTGGAATGTATTTTCGAAGAAGTTCCTGCCTATGATTAGTCTCACCTTCCTGTGTTAAGTAATGTCTTGATTTCCATGCATAAGTTTTCACTTCCACAAATACTCAACAGTTTAATAGTGTCAACCACAAGAAGAAATCAGTAAATATGTGAGTGGTGGTGATGTCTAGTCAGGGGGAAGGCACTAACTTGGGTATGCATGTTAGTCTTTAAGTTTTTATAAAAAGAAAGTAAAACAAAAATACAACTTTTTAATTCTAAATTTAATCAGTTTTTATAGTAAGGTCAGGTTTCCATACATGTGTCTATCATATTGTTCGTCTCCCCAAAATCCAGCAAGTAATCTTTCAGTGTAAAATTCTAGTACCTAGAGTGGTAATCAATATAATGTATTTGTGAAGCTCTGCAGGTTCATATAGAACAAAATAAAATTTAAAGTTAAGGCAATTAACCTAATAAGTTTCATAAAAATAATCCTCTGTTTTGTTTTCACTTTGATGTTTAAGGGAAAATGGCTTTGAAACAAATTATTAAACTATGGCTTACTATGAAACCCATTTGCTAATAAATTGGTAATATTTAAAAATTATTCTAGACTAAAATAGACTTTCATATTTATGAAGTAAGGTTAATAATCTTTCCAATTATAATTTCCAATTTCCAATAATAATTTCCAATATATTATATTTTATATAATAACAAGTTTTACATTTTTTTGACTTACTAAATTTCCATACATATACACGTTTGCACAATAGATTTGAAAGATTCTAGTTTTATTTTCATGGACCCAAGAATACTTGCTACTTTTTGAAAAGTAACACCCTGAAGCCAAAATACACAATGGCTAAGCTATAATCTTTTGATTTTTAGCGTGCTGCTGATAAAATACCCACAAGGCAAATGCGCGCACGCACAAGCGCGCACACAGACACACACACACACATTTGAAAGGATAGTCTTACTTGTTTTAAATAATGTTCATCCAAAAATAAATGGAATTTCTATATTAAGACTCTTCCTCATCTTTTTTAGAAAATGCATGTTGATTTGAGCTAAAAAGATTTATAATATATTAAAATAATTTATCCAAGTCAATATTTCCTGCAAAAATTATTCATGATGTATCAAATGCCCCTTTGGAAATTACTACAACTGTGTATTTTTTACTTCTATTGAAAAATAGAGGGGCGAATTTATAGACTAACCAAAGCAACACTGCAGTTTAATTCAAAATGGTTCTCTAATTTTGTCAGTTTAAAACTAACCTCCACTGATTTTTCAATTGTTTCACTGTTTTGATTTCTTCAAATCAATCTTTAGCTTAAGGAAACTAAATGCATACTGAAGAGATAAGGGGGTTTTAGCCTCCTATTTCAAGCTGAAACATAACCTCTAAATTATCTTTTACAGTAAGCCAAAGCCAGTATCACATACCTTTCGGGAATGAATTTCTTTCACATACAATGGAAGTAGAAACTCAGATATACCTTCAAGTCGGATTCCCTTCTTGGTGACTCTCAGATTTCCCATACCATCCTACAAGCAATGAAATATAGTTCACTTTTAGGTTAATTAGAGAATGAATAACTGGCCATAATTTTCTTAGGGCTAAACTGAGAAAACAGTAAGCTCAAATCAGTGATGATTTAAGGAAAATCAAAGACTGAATCTACTTCATGAATGACTGCAGCAGTCTGCATGCATCTAGAGGGTTCTGTTTAAAGTGAACAGGAAAAAAGGTAAATTAAGGACTGGATATTTAGTCTTAGCTCTATCAGAGATTAGGATTTATCTATGAAAAAAAATCCTGTACTTTTTTCATGCATCAGCCAGTTTAACTATTTTGGGGGTATAATTATTCTTTCTATCTATTAGAAACAATTTTGCTTGCAGAGAGTATTAACAATATTTTTACATTACAGTTATCACATATTTCTACAGTAGTCAAATAGTCACATTTGCACAATTTCAACAAGTACTTAATAATTGGCTAGTGTAAGTAAGCTTGATGTTCCTGTATTCAAACCATGAGTAATGCTTATTTCTTCTCCTTTAGAAAACAACACCCTATAAGGAGGATAAAACAAGTACTTAAATAACATTTATGAGATTGAATAAAATAAATTTTAAAAGAACAGAGTGCTAATAGGAATTAAAGAAAGATTTCAAATTTGATAAAAGAGTGAACAATTTCTCATGGAAGAGATTAACTATGAGAATATGGTGTTTCAACAGGAGATGTCCATAGGAGAAACAGAATGAATGTTCTGTAACATTAAGAAGTAGCATGCCATACAATCTTACTAAATGGACTACTGTGAGAAAAAACAACTGGGAGTATGTTTTGAAGCCAGTGAAAGGAAAGCCATGAATGCAAAGGTAAGGAGTCTATACTTATACCAAAAGAAGAAGAAACATAAAATTTCTTGAATAGCCTAATGGCTTGAAATTATCAGAGTTAAGTTTTTTAAGATTAATCTGGTAGGAGCACTATGTGTGGCTAACTTACAGAATATCAGTAAGAAGGCACAACCTGGTAATAACTGTAAGGAGTGGGGTGGTGCAGGGCACCTGGGTGACTCAGTGGGTCAAGCCTCTGCCTTTGGCTCAGGGCATGATCTCAGGGTCCTGGGATCAAGTCCCGCATCTGGCTCTCTGCTCAGCAGGGAGCCTGCTTCCCTACCCCCATCTCTCTCTGCCTGTCTCTCTGCCTATTTGTGATCTCTCTCTGTCAAATAAATAAATAAAAATCTTAAAAAAAAAAAAAAAAGTGTGGTGGGAGAACAGCCTGTAAGACCAGTGACTAATTTGATCTGGAGATGCTGAAAACAGGGACATTTATGACTAATCCCGGGTTTTGTTACTATGACCCAATAAGGAAATGCAGTGATTTTTTTAAATTGGAATAATGAAGTTTGTACACTCGATGGCAAAATGAGTTTAGCTTTGGACTTCCTAACTTTGAGATATCATTGAAAATTCAGATATTTCTCCATCAACTAGCACATATGCAAGAAAGAAGATTGGAGAGGGACAATTGCTTAAGGCACGCTTGTATCTACTATAATGGAGGAGCAAGTCCTTCACAGAAAGATGTCTATAAAACCACAGAGAAACTTTTAGATAATGACCAGAAGCATTTCATACATCCTGGGAGGCTATGATGAGTGTAAGAAGAAAACCAAGAAATTATGATGGCCCCAGACTCTACCACCTGGCTCCACCTTCCTCCCCAAAAGAAAGCCACTGAAGTAATATAACAATGAATAGAACTTTGAGTAAGAATTAAAGGACTTTTAAAAAAAAAATCACACAAGGAAAATGACTACTCAGAGATATTTTGACATGGTAAGGTCTCAATCTTCTAATGGAAGGAAAGAATAATTACTTCTGGTTGAATTAAACTTGGGATGGATGAAGGGATTCATTTCTTGAGACTCAAACTTAGAGTTAACACTGGAAATGTCTGATAGGGAACTGACTAAATTAAAAAAAAAAAATAAAAACAATTTCAGGCATCACTGCAGACTTACTCTGATGAGAAAATAGGTCTACTTTCATTGGAAGGACACATCCCAGTTTCCCTGAGACAGAGCTGGTTTATACCACTTTTATAATATCCTCTTTCATTTTCAAAGTGAAAAGTGTTTCTGATTTAGACATCAATTACACAGTCACCTATTTGCTGGTTCTAATTAGTATCATATGGCAATATCATACCTATCTAGGAACAGAAGCTAGCAGAATTAACAGGGAGAGACTCAATACTGAGGATTTGCTAAGCAGAAATGGCCGAAGGTGATAAGAATGTGGCATGCCAAAGTAGCAAAAAATGATGCTCCTCAAATGGCTGACCATCATTTTTCTCATTGGGTACAGACAAGTAAAGTCAGAACACCAATGTTAGACAGCAAAAATAGCACAGGGTTAGGGAATGACAACAGATCATTGATTAACGATCAAATTCAATATGAGAAATATTGATAATAGGTTTATCACCAGAAAATAGAATTTCAGATTTTGAGATGTTAAAGGTAAAAGAAAAATTCCAGACATCATGAAGCCTGAAGAACACCTGAGCAGTGGGCAGAAAGAGTAGAGACCAAACTCCCTATAATTCAGAAAGAATATACAAAGTGACACATGACATTAAAATATTATTTTGTCCCTGAGTGATTTTCTTGACTAAATTTCACACAGTGACTGCCCATATATATTCTCAAATGCCTGCTGGAAGGAAGTGTTTTGAAATGTTCCCCATGAAGTTGCTATGGAAACACCTAAAGCAACTGTTGGTCTAACTGAGAACAATAGAAATAAATTCTATCATAAACATAATTCCCAGTTCAACATTAATCTTAAAAAATGTCTTCATAAGATGGTTAGAAATAAAAGAACTGGACATCCAAAGTTAACTGTGATATTACTTATGCCATATGCATATCTAATGTTGGAAAGTTTTGAATCTTAAACTCAAAGTTTTCCTTTTATATTTTCTATAAAATATATGACTTGGGGCATATAAATCTGTTCCATTTAAGTTAGAAGAATAGATTTCCCCTGTATGAATACAGGAGGGTTAGGGCAGTATTGTGTTTAGAATCTAACCTCACTCTACCATGACCATTTGTCCCTCCTTTATTTCTCCCATTTTGAATTAAGAAATGAATATTCAAGTTCTAACATGTTATCTACATGTAGTTATAAAATACACAGAGATGCATTATATAGTCAGTATAATCAGTCTGATCCTCATATGCCTGTACCCAAACCATTAATAACTTATGAGATAGTGAAATAATCTGGTTTCTCTTCTGCAGGAGCATTTGAAAGTGATTTTATTCTTACTGTCCCTATACTTTCCTGATTCACTATATTCTTGGTCTCTTCAACACCTAAAAAGGAGAAAATAACTTCTGGATTTGCACCTAAGGATGACATTGCCAAAATACCAGAAAGTAAAGAATTTAATATACCTATGGCTCAGGCCTCAACCTTGGCTCTGTCATCTCCATCTTATGTAGGCTTAAACTTGACTAATTTCTTTTTTTTTTTAATTTAATTTAAATAATTTTATCACCTTAAATTTATCCCCAGTAAAAATAGGAAAAAACACAACTTAATGTATTTATTGCAAGGATTGCTCAAGAAGATAATGAGCTCACAATAATACCTTACTTTTGTTGAAGTACTCAATAGCTTTAACCATTATTAATATTTTACTAAAAATAACTTAAATTTTTATCTCACATTATTATTAAATTCATATTGTTTGTTTTCAGAGAGATTATCTTTGAACTTCAGTAGACCCTACAACAAGCTTTACCATCATTAGGGTTATGATGCAATTATTCATCACCTAGCAATCTCACAAATCACTAACCTACTCTTGACAGTGTGGTGTCATTTTAGAAGGGAATGTGCAGCCAGACAGCTTGGGTTTGAAGCTTTCTACTCTGTATATCCTAACTGTTATCTTTGTGTTTTTTTCATAAAGTGTATCATATTCTGATTATAATATTAGTTAACTGTGTGGACTTTTTTTCTCTTCTTAAAAAGTAAATGATCTTATTCATGTATGTACTTACTCCTTCTTCTAGCATAGTCTTTCCAATAGTGGTTTTGTGATATGTAGATACTGAATGCTTGAGTATTCAATTGATCAGTAGAATTTAGACCTTTACATGATAAAAATAAAAGAAAAATCCTTATAAAAATCATATAATCACCAAAATCCATGGAATTTATCTGTAGAAAATGCAAACAATCTTTATTATAATTGTCATGTACTTGATTTTTTGGACAAGGTGGAAGATACTTTGTTGAGAAATATTGTTTTTGGACTATATTATGAGAAATAGACATTAAAATAAATAATAGATACAAATGTAAACAAAGAATATTGATAGCCATGTCATTTTTTTTATTTTTTATTTTTTAATTTTATTTATTTATTTGACAGACAGAGATCACAAGTGGGCAGAGAGGCAGGCAGAGAGAGAAGAGGAAGCAGGCGCCCTGCTGAGCAGAGAGCCCGATGCGGGGCTCCATCCCAGGACCTTGGGATCATGACCTGAGCCAAAGGCAGAGGCTTAACCCACTGAGCCACCCAGGCACCCCACCATGTCATTTTAATTTAAAATCCACACCCATAACTCTGCAGTGATCTTACCCTAGTGCACTCTGTCCTTATACAAAGTTCTTTAGCACGCTTAGCTGTCTGGTATTGGGAGAGCTGTTTAGATGGTGGCTACCCTCAGAATTTGAATTATGCCTTAACAGGCAAATGTAACTTTCAAAGTAATGAACATGTTGACATAGAATTGAGAAAATTTTTAAAAATTGAGGCGACTGTTAAACAATTATAAAATCTGGTGTTTTATTAATTTTTTTGAGAGGGCAGAGGGGCAGAGGAAGAGAGAGAATTTGGTTGGGGGGACAGATGGAAAGGGAGAGATAGAATCTTCAGCAGGCTCCAGGCCCAGGGCCTGAGCCTGATGCAGGCCCATCCCACAACCCTGAGATCATGACCTGAG